TCACCCAAAACTTGGAAACTTCAATCACATAAAACTTAACAGAACTTCGTGAGATTGGTTAGTATGATAAAGACAAATCATTCACTTTGGTTCTGTCAAGACAAGATTCATAATTGTTTTCACATAATTCCTACTGTACTCTATCATTTCCACAATTTATATTATTTAATATAAGCTATGGAAACACTAAAACAAGCAAACTATGCATTGAAAACAGAATCTGTCAAAAACAAAACAGTCTATAATGATCTGAAAAATAACCCTACTTATGCAAGTCCAAAAATTCTGAAAAATTAGGACAACATAGAAAATTTGTATATAGATCATGTGTCAAAAATTTAGATCAAAATCACATTCCAGTGAAGTTTGAAAATTCCTAGACCGAGTGCAAAAGTTTTCTGTTTTTGCACAGAATCAAGTCAACTATCATCCACACTATCCCAAAGGCTTTACTTGGCACTTTATTGAAACAAAAGCAATAAAACATGATTAATACAGTAGCATAATCATGTGAACACACAAAAATAGTAGGGGTAAATATTGGGTTGTCTCCCAACAAGCGCTTTTCTTTAATGCCTTTCTAGCTTGGTGTGGCAATTTTAGTGATGCTCACATAAAAGATAATAATTGAAACACCAAGAGAGCATAATGAAGTATATTACTAGCACATTTAAGTCTAACCCACTTCCTATGCATAGAGATTTTGTGAGCAAACAATTTATGGGAGCAAGAATCAACTAGCATAGGAAGGCAAAACAAGCATAACTTCAAGATTTTCAACACATAGAGAGGAAACTTGATATTATTGCAATATGTAAAAGCATATGTTCCCCTCTCATAATAATTTTCAGTAGCATGAAAAAATCAACAATATAGCTATCACATAAAACATTCTTTTCATGATGCCTAAGCACACAAATTTTATTACTCTCCACATAAGAAAATTTATCCTTGTCAATAGTAATGGGAGCAAACTCAACAAAATAACTATCACGTGAGGCATAATCCAATTGAAAATTAAAATCATGATGACAAGTTTCATGGTTATCATTATTCCTTATAGCATACATGTCATCACAATAATCATCATAGGAAGGAGGCATGCTATCATCATAATAAATTTTCTCATCAAAACTTGGGGGACTAAAAATATAATCTTCATCAAACATAGCATCCCCAAGCTTATGGCTTTGCGTATCATTAGCATCATGGATATTCAAGTAATTCATACCAACAACATTGAAATCATGTTTATCATTCAAAATTTAGAGCCAAACATTTTATTGACTTCTTCCTCTAACACTTGAGCACAATTTTCATTTCCATCATTTTCACGAAAGACATTAAAATGATGAAGCATATGAGGCAACCTCAATTCCATTTTTTGTAGTTTTCTTTTATAGACTAAAACTAGTGATAAAACAAGAAACTAAAAGATTCAATTGCAAGATCTAAAGATATACCTTCAAGCACTCATCTCCCCGGCAACGACGCCAGAAAAGAGCTTGATGTCTACTACACAACCTTCTTCTTGTATACTCGTGTTGGGCCTCCAAGCGTAGAGTTTTGTAGGACAGTAGAAAATTTCCCTCATGTGGATGACCTAAGATTTATCAATTCATGGGAGGCGTAGGATGAAGATGGTCTCTCTCAAACAACCATGCAACCAAATAACAAAGAGTCTCTTGTGTTCCCAACACACCTAATACAATGGTAAATTGTATAGGTGCACTAGTTCGGTGAAGAGATGGTGATACAAGTGTAATATGGATAGTAGATATGGGTTTATGTAATATGAAAATATAAAAACAGCAAGGTAACAAGTGACAAAAGTGAGCAAAACCAGTATTGCAATGCTTGAAAACAAGGCCTAGAGTTCATACTTCCACTAGTGCAAAGTCTCTCAACAATGATAACATAATTAAATCATATAGAAATCCCTCAACGTGCGACAAAGAGTCACTCCAAAGTTATTATCACGGAGAACATAAGATGAAATTGCATGTAGGGTACGAAACCACCTCAAAGTTATTCTTTCCAATCAATCTATTGAGCTATTCCTATAAGTGTCACAAACATCCCTAGAGTTCGTAGTAAAATAACACCATATGACACACATCAATCAACCCTAATGTCACCTAGATACTCCAATGTCACCACGAGTACCCGTGGGTCAATTATACGATATGCATCAAACAACTTCAGATTCATAATATTCAATCCAACATAAAGAACCTCAAAGAGTGCCCCAAGATTTCTACGGGAGAAACAAGGATGAAAATGTGCATCAACCCCTATGCTTTACCCCAACGTCACCTCGGGAATCCACGAGTTGAGTGCCAAAACATACATCAAGTGAATCAATAGAACACCCCATTGTCACCACAGGTTTCCCACGCAAGACATACATCAAGTGTTCTCAAATCCATAATATTATCCAGTCAGATAGTAGTGAAACCTCAAAGGTAAAACTCAATTCATCACAAGAAGGTAGAGGGGGAGAAACACCATATGATCCAACTATAGTAACAAAGCTCGTGGTACATCAAGATCGTGCCAAATCAAGAACACGAGAGAGGGAGAGAGAGAGAGAGAGAGATCAAACACATAGCTACTGGTACATACCCTAAGCCCCGAGGGTGAACTACTCCCTCCTTGTCATGGAGACCGCTAGGTTGATGAAGATGGCCTCCGGTGATGGTTTTCCCATCCGGCAGGGTGCCGGAACGGGCTTCCGATTGGTTTTTTGTGGCTACAGAGGCTTACGGCGGCGGAACTTCCGATCTAGGTTTCTTTCTGGGGGTTTCGGGATTTATAGAATTTTTTGGCGTTGGTCTCGTGTCAAGGGGACGCTCGACGGGCCCACGAGCCAGGGGGAGCGCCATAGGGGGGGGCCTAGGCTTTTGGACTCCTCGTCCACCTCCTGGTCTGGCTCCGATGCTCTGGGGTTCTCTTTTGGTCCATAAAAATTCATCGTAAAGTTTCAGCACGTTTGGACTCCATTTGATATTCCTTTTCCGTAAAACTCAAAAACAAGGAAAAAACAGAAACTGACACTGGGCTCTAGGTTAATAGGTTAGTCCCAAAAATACTACTCCCTCTGTCCGGAAATACTTGTCACAGAGATGGATGTATCTAGACGTATTTAAGTTCTAGATACATCTATTTTTATCCATTTCTTCGACAAGTATCTCCGGACGGAGGGAGTATAAAATAGCATATTGATGCATATAAAACATCCAAAACAGATAATATAATAGCATGGAACAATAAAAAATTAAAGATACGCTTAGAGACGTATCAATTGGCGTCTACCTCCGCCGTCGTAAGTGGTCGGTGGTAGACCCACGCAATGAGCCACTCCTCCTCATCGGGCACCGCCGGCAACCCGTGGCAGCGGCGAATGGATTGCTCGACCGTCTCCCTCTCCCTTGTCCGCTGCCTCTTGCGGCAGGCGGCGCGCGCTTCTGATTATAGCGTGCGCGTCCATGGTACCAGCGAAGGGGGCACTAAAACCCACCACTGCCCTTGTGGAGCAACGGCCGGCGGGGAGGTGGACAACAAAGGGGAAGTGCGGATTGAGCAGCCCGCCAGGAGCTGCGCGCGGGCCGGGAGGGGCTAGTTCCGGCTTCGACGCTGCATAGACGGGCAAGCAAAGACGGATCTGATCCGAAACTGTCCACTTATCCACCTGTGACCACTCAATCGCAATGCGGAGGCCCAACTCGTTGACAGAGCCATTGGAGCGGCTACCGGAACTCGACATGGTCGCCAAAGATGGGATTTGGGTCGAATTGGAAAAGGGGAGGAGAAGAGATGGATCGAAGCGAAGTGAGTGTAGGGTTTTCGGATTGGGGTTTATGTGGGGAAGGACTGGGGTCGGCGGTGGGCCGGTCTGACGCGCCGGGCGCGCTCGGCCCGCCCCATATCTTCCCTACATTTGGGTTGGATATGAGACGCATCGGACATCCCATGCATTTGAGAGGCCGGTTTAAGGCACCCGGGTTGGTCGTTTTTTGACCGGTTAGTGACTGATCTGCCCGTCCGGGCGTTTGAGGCCGGTTTGAGGTGCCTAGTTATAGATGCTCTTATAAACTGGACCAGCCAAACAAGAGAAGGATTCTCTCTTGGCATGGTACCTCTAAGTAATATATCCAGGTGGAAGAACTCTTCTCTGACGATTCCTTAGAAAGAATGCGGGATTGATTGGAATTTTGCTCATCCTATCCTATGGAATGGATTCATCTCTTGCATTGCCAACTTCAGAATTTTGCATTAACTAGAAGGGTTTGGCGTGCTACGATGTGTCATTGGTGTTGTTAAGATTTCATAAAGATAAAAGTTGGTTTACCGTGTGGGAAAGATGATGAAGCGTCATTTCCTTCTTTTATTGGGCTTTCCGTGTGATTCTATGTTATCCGCTAACCGACAAAAGCACGTACTATGCTGGTTGATGTCGATTAATTTGAGAAATTATTGATCCACTCAAAATCATGAATTAAATCTAAAATTGTTACCTTATCCAAATGAGAGAGCTTGTTGAAAAATACTCCCTCTGTTCCTAAATATAAGTCTTTCTAGATATTTCAAATAAGGATTAAACACGAATGTCTATAAACATATTTTAGAATGTAGATTTACCCATTTTGCTTCGCATGTAGTCCGTATTGAAATGTTTAAAAAGACTTATATTTAGGAACGGAGAGAGTAGTTGACGAGGTCAAAATTGTAAACCAAATGTAAAGTTGAACACCTTAATTGGACGAGAGGGCTTTAAAATAAGGGAGCACAGTAAATTCCCATAATTCCATGTACAATATATGTGGGCCTCAACGTCGACCGCCGTTCACACGGTCGGCCCAATACTCCCTGGTCATAGGGTTTTAGTGGGGTTTCACTTATCGCAGAGCCTTGTCTCAAAGAAGAAAAAGAAAAAAAGAAACTCATCGCAGAGCCGCCGCCGACCGTAGCACAGCGGCAGAGAAGTGCGGCAAGCGGCCATGGACTTCTGCCCGGCGTGCGGGATGCTGCTGCAGATCCAGCCGGCCACCGGCGGCCACCGCCTGCGCCTCTTCTGCCCCACCTGCCCGTACGTCTGCCCCATCAAAAACAAGGTCTGCCCTCAAACCCAATTCCGCCTCCTCGTTCCCTTGCGTCGTTTTACTCTGGTGCCTCGGTCGAGTTGTGTTGACGCTTGTTGGTGTGACCCTCGCTTGGCGCAGATCGTGAAGAAGGCGAGGCTGGTCAAGAGGGAGGTGGAGTCCGCGGAATCTGCCCCCAAGACTGACGGTGAGCCCAAGGAATCGGTCCCCAAGACTGACGGTGAGCCCAAGGCCGAGGGTCAGCTCAAGCAATCTGCCCCCAAGACTGAGGGTGAGCTCTTCACCCTTCTCTTTTGCTTAGCTATTGGGATAATCGATTGTCCGCACCGCTCAACTGTGTGCATAACTAGGGATTATCAATTGTTGTTCTTTCTTCCGGTGTTTATATATTCAGAAAAAGGAAGATGAATTACGATTTTTCTTTTCTTTTTGTTGCAACCATGGAAAATTTTGTTGTCAATAGAGTTGCTCGTTCTGGCACCAATAAGGAGATTTTTTTTCACATCTTCCTTTCGGTGAATTGCACTATACTGAAATATTACATTACCCAAAGTGCAGGGTAGTTGTTTTGTAATGCAAATGTAGCTTAGGATTTTTCATTAGAAATCTTTTTCTGTGCAATTTTTTCTTAAAGTTCACACCCTAGCTTATTTCGAAGAATGACACTTGCTTACCAGCTACCACCCCGTGTCACCTTTTTCTGCGTGGTGGTGCCATGCCTAAGGAAAATCTACACTTGTTATTAGGAACAAAGTTTAAAAAGCGCTAGGTGTTAATTATGTGTTTTGCCACCGCCTTGTGCTTTTCTAACAAAAGCGCACATTAAGCGCTAGGGGTTTTGCTATCACCTAGAGCCTAGGCTTAAGCGCCTTTTTCTAACCATGTAGTACATTGAGCTGCGGTCACCTAACTTGGGTCATTGAACTCCCAAACTGCAGGTCTGGGTTGTTAAACTTCTTGAGATGTTTCTCTCTAGGTATGGATGGCATCCTTTGTGTGACAGATCAAATGACATGGCATGTTGACTCATGCCACTGTGCTTGGTTAGTACCTGATGACGGGCATGGCCACTGTAATTTGCACTCAGCCACCCTCAGTCTTCATCATGAGAGTGATTTTTGTTTCCTTTCGTATAATGGATTGCTGCGCCATGCCTTGATGGCACAAGTCAATGTGCCACGCCAACCTGGTTGACACCTAGAGTGATCCACCTTAAACTAGTTGACACCTAGAGCGATCCACTTAAACTGGTTTAGTGGCCTAGATAGGCAGTTTGAGAGTTCAGTGTCCTACTTGAACCTGCCGGTCAAGTTTTGGGACCAGTAATATAATTTACTCGTAAGTTTAATGCCTTTGTGCTCACATTTCAGCCAGGGCACTGGCATAGAAGTGTTCATCTGCCATGCCTCCAGCTCTGCCATTGTCTAAGGGGGCTAATTTTAAAAGTAACTTAGGATGTTCTTTTAATATTCTTAAGGCAGGTGTTCCTTAATATAAATTGATCAGGTAAATAAAGCAAGCCAGGTCACTTTTTTATAAGGAAAAATAGAAGAAAAAAATCTATACAATCCCAGAAAGGAAAAATAGAAATGACGGAATAAAATGTTTGGAGAACAAGTAATGTTAGTTTCAAGTTAATAGGATCCTTGCTTAATATATTTCCTCTCTTTGAAACTTCAGTTACATCAGCCTGGTATGGCGCTGCTAGAAGGACGGCGCGAGAAGGCTGTCCGAGGGCCTTTTTTGCCCACGGCCGGGCAAGAGGGAAGGGATTTTCCTTCTTAATTCTTGCTTGATTAGATTGATACATCTCCTCTCTTTATATAGAGAGGTTTACTTGACTCCCAAGCAAGGCTTACTTGACCCCTAAGCAAGCGACCCTTATCTCTAATTAACCCTAAGACTAACGGGCTATACTGCCAGCCTAGGCCCATTACGTACTCTAACACTACACCCCACCTGGACATGCAGCTTGTCCTCGAGCTGCAGCCTAACCAACTTATAACCATGACTCGACGCAACACAAAGCTTACACCTAAAAACAAGCCTTTTACATCTTGGCTTGTTTTATGACTCTCAACCTGAAATGGACTCGGACGCTTTATTTTGGACCCCTCAACAAAAAGTGGACACCATCAGCATGTCGGACGTGCACGTGTACAGCCACCTGGATCCCATGGACACCACCTGGACCCAAGGAGTGCATGTGTATGGCCACCTGGAAGTGGTCGCAAGAGCGACCAGCAGAGCCGCCCTCGCGGCGGCCGGCAGCGGAAAGCAGTGGTGCTACGCGGTGCGCTCCTGTTGGTGACACCCTGCCTTCTCCCCGCCGGACTGCTGTTGGTCTGCACCGCACAAGGAAGAGTGGAGGGCTTGCGATGGAGAATGACGAGGAGGGGTGTGCCTCCCCAACCGCCGATGTCACAGACTTTTAGGTCGCTGCCTGCGGGGAAAACAGCATGCTCGCCGCCCGTGGGGGAAACCGCATGCCCAAGATCCCCGACGCAGCAGACGAGATCGAGGTCCTTTGCGCAGCGAAGGGAAACTTGGAGGAGCGGCAGCTGCAGACCACACATCTCCCGCACACGCCGACGCGCTAGGAAGCCGCGTGCAGCAGCCTGCAGCCTCACCGCCGCCGACACGTGGCGGGTAGCAATCCAAGACGGAAGCGGTGACGGCGACGGCGGGGACTTGATCTGCTGGATGTGGACGCCCTGGGATGGCGGCGGCGCTGATGGGAACGAGGTCGTCGCACTCCCGTTGTAGGGCATCCCATACTGGGCGGCGGAGCTCACCGGCGGTGGCTGCTGCAGCTGCAGCGGCTGCTGCGGTGTCGTGCCGGGCAGCGGCAGCGGTTGTTGCGGCGGAGCGCCGGTCGCGACGGAGGCCGCTAGGAGCGGCGGCTGCCACTGCAGCCAGGGTTGGGCGGTGGTGGCGATGGATGGCAGCTGCAGCGGCGCGGCGGAGGCCGCTAGGAGCGGCGGCTGCCACTGCAGCCAGGGTTGGGCGGTGGTGGCGATGGATGGCAGCTGCAGCGGCGCGGCGAAGGCCGCCTGGTGCGGCGGCTGCCACGGCAGCCACGGCGACGCGGGGGCGGCGATGGGCGCCGCAGCCGGGTGCGGTCCGTGGGACCCGGCCAAGAACAGGCAGATCTCCTGGACCGCCTGGGTTAGGTCCCGCAGCACCCCGGACACCTCCTCCCAGGTGAGGACAGTGGGGGCGGGCGCGACGGAGGATCCTGGCGCGGGCAAGAGTGGGGCGACGGTCGTGGTGGTCGCCGGAGGCGACAAGGTGACCGGCAGCGGAAGAGACGGGCTTGGCGGCGGTGAAGACATGATCGAACCGAAGCTAGCTGATACCAAATTGGTATGGCGCTGCTAGAAGGACGACGCGAGAAGGCTGGCCGAGGGCCTTTTTTGCCCACGGCCGGGCAAGAGGGAAGGGATTTTCCTTCTTAATTCTTGCTTGATTAGATTGATACATCTCTCTTTATATAGAGAGGTTTACTTGACTCCCAAGCAAGGCTTACTTGACCCCTAAGCAAGCGACCCTTATCTCTAATTAACCCTAAGACTAACGGGCTATACTGCCAGCCCAGGCCCATTACGTACTCTAACACAGCCGAATACCAACAAAAAGCTTTATATTTTGTACTCCCTCTGTAAAGAAATATAAGAGCGTTTAGATCACTAAAGTAGCGATCTAAACGCTCTTATAGTTCTTTAGAGAGGCAGTAGTTGATATCTTTTATAGTGTCAATATATATAGCAGGAAATATTCATTCTGGCGTGTTTAGATTGGCTTGTTGTACTTACTGCGTTGACTTGCTTAATTCCTTTTTTTTACAAGAGCCTTTTGAGAATGCTTAATTTTATCGGCCAAAATTTATCTTTTCACAGTGAAGTGAAAATCTTTTTAGCTGTGCGAAAAGCAATTTGGCGGACATGACTATGGTACAGCATGTGTCTGCTGTAACCTTTTGATAACTTTGTTGTAAACATGGCTAATGTTATATAAAACTGCAACAGACTCTCTACACGAGTAACCTGGAGCAGAATTCATATTTTGCCAAACACTCTGCTAATACACATATGATGCATTCACTTTCAGGTGCATGACCAAATTGACACAATGGAGAAACATACTTTTGGCAGACGCGGATTCGATTAGTACAATATCTACAAGCATTGTGAAACTTAAGAGTATCTGGACATGCGAACGTGTGGCGCTTCTTTGATCAAATTATGTTGCAGCACACAACTTGCCAAAAGCCACCAATCTGGTGCAAAGTAAAGTGATATACATCTGACAGTGCAGAAGCCGGAGAAGCTCACTTCAATGTTAGTTTGTTAATTGGACACTTCCTTTATGTGACATTGCAGGCTTTTTGGTACGGAGATGCTTTTTTTGTGTGTGCGCGCTCGCTAGAGGTGTTGATTTGGTGTATGAATACTCTTATTCAACCAGCACAAGAATGGGTAGGATTTTGAGTCCTTGCATAGCTTCCATTCTCCAGCCTTGAAACTTGTACATGAGTTTAGGTTAGGGGTCGAGAAGACAATGAAGGCAAGGGGATCAGCGGCCGGGCAGTGGCACTCTGGTCCCCTGTTTACAAATACTCCCTCCGTATCAAAATATAAGACATTTTTTTAGGCTACTGAAACATCTTATATTTTGGTACAGATGAAGTAGATGTGTATTGGGTTGCCGATAATAAACACGCACGCAATATACTTCTTTTTATTACTTAAGTAGATCTCATAATAAGCATGCACATTTTAGAAGTTGCGTTAAAATCTATTTATTAGGTTTAAAAAAAATATGAAAATAATAAACACATACCTATGGATGTATACTATTTTGCATTTAAATTTTTATGCGAGCTACACAAAAATCTAGCACATGTACTATCACATCGCTATAAAAGTACATGATGTTTTTGTTTACACCCATGTTGTACGTCAGTAGGTACTTGTATATTTTATTTCAGATTTTTTTGAAACTTAAGTCAGTTTTTGAAATTCTGGGCTCCATTGGGTGGTAAATATGAAGTGGTTATCAGGGACATTATAGTGGCTAGTTCTTGAGTGGATTTTTATTGTCAAACATTCAAAAATCAATTTTTTTAAGTTTCGAAAAAAACTGAAAAAGTACACAAGTACTTATAGGTGTATACTAGATGTGTGTGAAATTTCATCACGAAATAAATTTTTATGGGGCATGTACAAAAAAAAAATCATGTGAATTTATAGTGAACAATACATGTGTTAGAAATATGTTTTTTTTTTCATTTTATGTAGCTCGCATAAAAAGGTATTTCTTCATGAAATTTTGCAGACAAGTAGTATACATCCATATGTATATCAGTATATGTCTACTTTTTTCAGAATTTTTTGAAACTTAAAATTTGAATTTTGAAGTTTTCAAAGGGCTCCATGGAGCTCGAGCTCCATTAGGCATTTCCCCTAGTTCTTCCTTTACCTTGTGTAATTTTGTCCATGAAAAAAGAGACTCAAATTATGAAGCCCACAACCTGGCTAGTTTTGCTTCTTCGTTAGATCAGCGTAGATACACATGGCTCGGTCTACCTCATGATACTCTTTGTATATTAATCATTAAACCTAGTGGATTGTGCTAAAAAAAGCAAAGAGGAAAAGACCAACTAGGATAAAAAAAAACTAGGGTTGGTTTCTTAACACCATGAGTTGTCTCTTCCTTACCCCCAGGAAAGTATCCAATGCTCCCAGCCTTGGGGTACTCGCAGTGCTCCAATGTCAAAAAGCATTTTTAAAAGTTCCAAAAAATTTCGGAAAAAATAAGAATCTTCACAAGGTATGTCACTACATCCCCTAAAAATTTTAGGTCCAAAATCGAAATGTACATTGAGAAACAAAAAAGAGAAATACAGATCTGAATAGTGTCAATGTTGCTTTTGCTCTTCTTTACACTATTCATGCTAGATTTCACATTTTTGTTTCTCAATGTGTGATTCGAGTTTGGACCTGAAATTTTTAGGGCTTGTAGTCACATTCATTGTGTACATTCACAATTGTTTTCAGATTTTTTTGAAGCATTAAGAAAATGTTTATTGACATTGGAGTACCGGGAGTACCCAGGGCTGGGAGCACCGGATACTTTCCCACCTTACCCCTTCGTCTCTCCTCCCAAGCGAATAGGCGACTAGGGTTCCTGTCAATTATAATATAAAACAGCCATTGCAACTGATCTACAACTATGCACACGAATGAAATGCACAACAACAGGAGCAATCATCTAAATGACAGGACCAAGGCCTCCTGTACTTTTTCTGTTGGCGCTATGGATGAGCCACTTGAGCTCCTTGAACTTTGCTCTGCGTGCACTGTTTAACCCTCAAAAAGTTTGGTGAACAGACCTGAAAAAGGTTGCTTCTTTTTCACCCTTATAAGTAGCTCCTTTTTCTGTCTGGGCCACGTCTTTGCTTTCTTCAGAGGCCCATTTTCCTGGGCATCAGTGAGTGGAATACTTAACAGTGATTACATTCTTATGTAGATTCCATTGCTCAAATGAGATTTGTTTGTTGGCACCGACCTCGATAAGAAGCAAGGGAGTGGTGCCGAAGCAAACGGAGTTGCAGAGCCGTTTGTTTACCAATCCGCCAACTTAAGCTAGGAAAAGTGTAAGAGACCGTGCATCTTCATGTAAATAAAGGTAAATAATCTCAGAAACAGTCAAGAAACCGGGAATTTTTATTCCATTTCTTAGCCAGGGCAAGCCCTACCGACCTACGACCGGAGAAGATGTTGTGTTGTTCGTATCACTTGCTAGAGATAGAGAAGCTAGAACAGGAACTGCCCGGGAGGGTTCAAAGAATGAGGTCTTCACCTTTGAGCTGGATCTCATCTCATTCTAGCACATACTACGAGCGATTGACTTAAAGAATACAACAAATGGTTTTGGGGTTATCTTTGTACCCTGTGACTACAACCACAAGGTCTGAATCAAGCGAAACGGCTGAGGCGCAAGCCCTTTTCTCGCCACTACTCTGTGTACCCAAAGTCAGCAACCTTTTCGGCACGCTGGCTAGCAAGTTCATTGCTTCAATGACATGAATTCAATCAAGCGGACAAATCCTATCCTGAAAACTATGGGCAATCAGCTGGAAACTCAATAGTCTTACGCGGAAAGCACTCAACCGGCCTTCCTCTTCTGAATTATATGAATGACAGAAATCAGACCTCACTTGTATTAACTTCATGAGTGAAGAAATAGACAAGGTGGTGAAAAGCATGAAACCAAATACTGCTCCAGGTCCAGATAGCTTCTCTGTTAGCTTTTTAGAGCTTTTTGCCCCAAGTTGAGAGATATACTAATACAAATGCTTGAGGAGCTGTATCATGGCAGGTTGAACTTGTCCAGACTAAACTATGGTGTCATTTCTCTACTGCCAAAGATTAAGGATGCTAATAGTATCCTACAGTATAGACCCATATGTATTCTAAATGTTATGTTTAAAGCTATTACCAAAGCTCTGACACTTAGATTTACTCCTCTGGCTCGACAAGTAATCAGCTCTCTTCAGACTGGATTTATTCCTGGGAGGTACATTTTGGATGGATGTGTAATTCTTCATGAAATTTTGCATGAGTTAAAAACCTCTCACTCTGAAGGAATTTTGCTTCAGTTGGACTTTGAAAAAGCTTATGATAGAGTTCAGTGGCCTTTCTTGGCAGAGGTAATGCATAGGAAAAACTTCCCTGACAGGTGGATAGATTGGATTAGACAAGCAGTGGAAGGAGGCAAAGTGTGTGTGAATATGAATGGAGATTGGCAAGAATATTTCTCTACTTTCAGAGGTTTGAGGCAAGGAGATCCTCTTTCTCCTTTGCTTTTTCACCTAGTAGGTGATGCACTATCTGCAATTCTAGATAGAGCTAAGGAAGCAGGTGTGATTAGAGGTTTGGTACCACATCTGATACCAGGAGGGATTAGTCATTTGCAATATGCTTCTGATACTTTGCTTTTTTTTTGCATAATGACATGGAGTCTATTACTGGATTCTAATTCCTTCTCTACTGTTTAGAGGAAATGTCTGGCATGAAAGTCAATTACTTGAAGAGTGATATTTTCACATTAGGGTTGAGTGTAGAGGAGGAGCAGAGGGTAGCTGATATAACTGTGAGATAGGCAAATGTCTAATAAATATCTGGGATTACCAATCAGCAAAGACAAGATCTCTTCTAATGATTTTTTTCATTAAAAGGTAGAAAAGAAGTTGGACTCTTGGCAATGCAAACATTTCTCTTATGGAGGAAGAGATATATTGATCAATGCATGCTTATCAAATGTCCTTGTGTACCTTCTGGGTTGCTACACTTTGCCTGTCAAAATACAGAAAAAAGTTGATACGATAAGAAATCACTTCTACTGGGAGTAAGAAGAAGAAATTTTACATGGTTAGATGGGAACACCTATGCACCCCTAAAGATTATGGTGGTGTGGGCTTCACTGATATGAGAGTCAGAAACATTTGTTTACTGTCAAAGTGGCTGGAGGAGGTCAATTAACTACTAGAGCTTACACTGCAGATACTACTTATACTATTAAAGGGCACACATTTCAAGACACCTTCAAGCTACTGAAATTGGAAAGCAATGATGTTATACTGGGTTATGATTGGTTATATCGTCACAGTCCAATCAATTTAGGTTGGAAGGCCAGAACAATGAGTATTTGTCACAATGGGCAAGAAACCATTATTCTTTCTGACAGCAAACTACTTCTCCAACATTGTTAGATCCCGATAAGTTTCATAAGGAAATTGATAGTAAACGTAGATACACATGGCTCGGTCTACCTCATGATACTCTTTGTATATTAATCATTGAACCTAGTGGATTGTGCTAAAAAAAGCAAACAGGAAAAGACCAACTAGGATAAAAGAAAAACTGGGGTTGGTTTCCTAACACCATGAGTTGTCTCTTCCTTATCCTGGGAAAAGTATCCAATGCTCCCAGCCTTAGGGTACTCCCAGTGCTCCAATGTCAAAAAGCATTTTTAAAAGTTTTAAAAAATTCTGGAAAAAATAAGAATCTTCACAAGGAATGTCAGTACATCCCCTAAAAATGTTAGGTCCAAAATTGAAATGTACATTGAGAAACAAAAAAGAGAAATACAGATCTGAATAGTGTCAATGTTGCTTTTGTCTCTTCTTTACACTATTCATGCTAGATTTCACATTTTTGTTTCTCATTGTGTGATTCAAGTTTGGACCTGAAATTTTTAGGGCTTGTAGTCACATTCAATGTGTACATTCATAATTTTTTTTGGAATTTTTTGAAGCATTAAAAAAATGTTTATTGACATTGGAGTACCGGGAGTACCCAAGGCTAGGAGCACCGGATACTTTCCCACCTTACCCCTTCGTCTCTCCTCCGAAGCAAATAGGCGACTAGGGTTCCTGTCAATTATAATATAAAACAGCCATTGCAGCTGATCTACAACTATGCACACAAATGAAATGCACAACAACAGGAGCAATCATCTAAATATCTAAATGACAGGACCAAGGCCGCCTGTACTTTTTATGTTGGCGCTATGGACGAGCCACTTAGCTCCTTGAACTTTGCTCTGCGTGCACTATTTAACCCTCAAAAAGTTTGGTTGAACAGACCTGAAAAAGGTTGCTTCTTTTTCACCCT